AAAAAAAAAAAAAAAATTGAGACTCAAAAGTTGCTTTTGGATCTGATCTTGTTAATTTTATTGTGTTTCTTCTAGTTGAAAAGTTTTTAGATAAAATTGGTCCAATATGACTTTCTTTGAAAGCTTTTCTGAGATAGTTTTTTTTTTAATAACTAATTTCTAAACACAATTTAAGTTAATTTCATTAGAAAGTTCTATAAAAAGAAAATAGAAGTAGAAATAAAAATTATGCCAAACAAATTCCAAGTCAATAATGCTAAATGTACATTCATTCTCTTGTATCAACTTTGACATTCTTTTTGTTTTCAAAAAATTGTGGACGGAAAAAATGTTTTATTAAATTGTCCAATGATATGTTATTATATGGTACAATGTAAATAATGATTTAAAAGGTGACGTTTGTGCAGCATGGTTGATTCGAAATAAGGCCATTTTGAAATGGTCAGCAATTGGGAATTACACTGTGCCCCTGTTTGGCACCCATTAATTTCTCATTCTCATTTTTCATTTCAACCACATATTCTTCAAATAAAATAATATTACACACAAATCTAAAATTTTTCATCACTTTTCCACCACACATTCTCACATCAATCACTATTTTAAAATTTCTATTCTCCTCAAAATTAGATTCAAACACATATATTCCCGTCCTATTCTTAAAGCCTCCTTTTCCCAGTCAAAAATCTCCTCCTTTCCACAACTTTTCGTATTTATATCCCCCCCCTTTCCTTCTACTGCATCACTACACGCATATTTAGATCTTCACAATTCTCTGCCACTCTCCAAGTTTGAGTTTCTTAGGGTTTTTTCAGCTTAGAATTTTCCTATTTTTGAAGCCACTTTTGATCATTAAAACAACTAAACCAGATTCCCCTTTTTCCATTTGAGCTCAGAGATTCAATTTCATGACATTTTGCTATATTTTATTGTGAAGTTCTGTTCTTGGTATGTGGGAATTTTTCTCTGTTTCTAGTATCGGTTTTAAATTGGACTTTCTCCCTTTTGAGCTCATTCTTGGTTGCTTTCTGATTCTGAAACTTAATTTCACGTTAAGTTCTGATTTTTGTAATCTGGGCATGATCTTGATTTAAATCACTTATATCCCTTTTACCAAATTGTATGTTCTTTGCCTTAATTAGCCCTCCACAATTTAAAACCTCAAGAGATGGAAAAAATTGATAGTTTGGAATGCAAGACTGTTATCAGTGAGTTAACTCAAGGTAGGGAACTGGCAAACCAGCTTAAAAACCAACTTTATCCGGCAAATTCGCGCAAGGCCTGCGGGTTTTTAGTGGAGAAAATACTTTCTTCGTATGAAAATGCTCTTTCATTGCTAAATTGTATTGCTATTTTGGAAGAAACTTCGCAAGTTTCTGCAGCCATTTTGGAGTCACCTAATTCCCTTGTTGGTACACCTACCAGTGAGGGCTCCAACCCTTGCTCTAAGGAGCAAAACCAAAGAGATGTATTCAAGAAAAGGTATGATTAGCCCATTTATTACCAATTTTGAGACTTTCGACTAAATTTAAAAAGCAGTAAAAGTTACTTTCTTAAGTTTTCGATTGCCATAAAAAGTTACTTTTCCAGATAACTTTTAAGCTTAGCCAAACATTGGTTAAACTGATCTTTATTCATTTGGGTTATCTTTTTGAATTTACAGAAAGATATTGCCTAAATGGAGTGAAGAAGTTCGTGTTTGCTCCGTGACTGGACAGGAAGGTCCTCCTGATGATGGATATAATTGGAGAAAATATGGGCAGAAAGATATTTTAGGTGCTAGTTTTCCAAGGTGAGGATTTTATGTTTGTATCTTGTCTAGAAAGTAGCCTATTGTTAGCAGTTTTTTCGCACATATCTAAAAAAAGGAGTTAAAATCGTGTTCATTGTCTCGTGTAATCTGGTCCAGCACCAAAAAATGCCTAGATAGTACAATTATGAGATATTTATTATGTTAAATTGGATATGATTAAACATTATCAAGAAACAACGGTATATGATACGTTTGTCCCTTATCGTACGAAGTCTAATAACTCGGCAATTCATGACATGATAAAGTACGAAGGTTCATTGAACAAGTGGGAGGAAAAACTCAAGGAAGGTGGGATTTAAGAATAGTCTAAATGGTCTGAGGATTTTACTTTGAGGTTGAGACTAGAGTTGTTGTCCAAAATTGAAGTCACTTGAATGTTTCTGCCTTTTCACCTGTTTTGACATGCCTTTAACTACTCTTAAATACACTGCCCTTGAACTTACCAAGTTGGAGAAGTATAGTCACTTTCCTCATGACTTATGGTAGATATGAGTTAAATACCTCAGGAATGAAGAAAGGACAAAAAAATTAGACATCAATAGGATTCCCTTGTTGCCAATTTTCGTTTCTTGAAGCTTAACATATAACTGGTAAACTATGTTCGATATGTATGGTGTGAAAGGGTTCTTACCATTTCATACATATTATCAGAACCAATCGGTCCAGATCTAATCAGGGGTATGTTATTACAGGGCATATTACAGATGCACTCATCGCCATACACGAGGATGTTTGGCCACGAAACATGTCCAGAAATCAGACGAAGATCCCTCAATGTTTGATGTCAACTATAAAGGAAGGCACACTTGTATTCAAGAAAGGCAAAAACAGAACAAAGAAGATTATAAGGTTAAGGAAGAAGACAGCAATCATAGATCAGGCATTAAACTTGAAACTCCAGCTTTGACTCCTAAGGAGGAAATAGTTCCTTCCTTCTCCTTTCCTTCGACTCCAATTATATCAGACAATTTGGAAACTAAATTCCTTTTAGAGCCTGCCGAGGAAAGTAAATTCACAGAAAGTTGTACGTATCCATTTGTATCCCCAGCAACATCTGACTGTAACTATTTATCGGAATCACTATGCCAGATGGACGACTTCTGGGTTGATTGCAACTTGCAAAGCCCAGAATCAGATTTTACTAATATCGTTTCGATTCCAACTTCAGTCACCAATTCCCTGTTAAGAGATTGGGATTTCACAGCTGATCCGGTGGAGTTGGATCCTAGTTTCACCCTCGACTACTTTTGACTTCATAGCACAGATTCATAAACTCAGCAAAGAGCATGAATGGTAGCTAGGAGTCAAATATTTGCTGCAATAAAGTGCTTCTATACCTGTGGATCCCACCCTGCAATCAGTTGAAATATGTTTATATAAGTAGGTAGGTGTTTACAATGGCTTGGGGAATTTGAGTCTCCCATGGTGCAAGTGTTGGAAAAGTGGAATTTAATTAAAGTGTGTGTAACAAGAATATGAGGCTTTTGTTGGAATAATAAACACATGGTTTTGTAGAGGAATTACTGTCGTAGCGTGCTTTACAAAGGATTCATTTTGCTTTGATCGTCTTGATCCTCCCTACAAGCCCTTCAGTCTTTTCTGATGTTCTTCAAGAGCCTTTTTCATGTGTGGACACAAAAATAAAAAATCTTAATTGAACCTCAATATATAGGATATAGCTACTTGTACATGAAAAAGTGTACATAAACGGTTGAGTGTCATGTGGCATCACGTAATTCATTATGTAAATTTTAATGTACATTTAGCAAAATCCATATATATAACGCATATACATACATACCTAATTCAAATCAAGAGCTTTCCATAGATAAATGGCACATGCGTGGCACACTTGACACGTTTTCGTTCAATTAATTAATTAATTTAACGATAGACGATTCTTATTTTGAAGCCACCAAAAGAACTTAATCAGATCCAATTAAACTAAGCTCCAATAAAGTAAATCTCAACTCAATCAATTCTTGATCGATCGATACAATTTCTTAATTGTGTTCTATTTTACTAAAAGAACGAGTTTGCACTATTGGTCCCATTGAAATTACTTAAGCTACATATAAACAATAATTTTATCATCTGACTTAACGTTCTTACATATTATACCGTAGATCATGTCAATATTGGAACAATATAAAATGACCAAAATTTCACTTTTAAAAAATATATATATAAATCCTCACATCTCGTTTTCTATTTTACAATCCCAAAGAATCACATTACTGTACTCATTTAATAATCAATGTCGAATTACTGATTCAGATTTAAGTTTCCACTAAAAAGTCCTTTTGAGGGCAGGATTGTTCCAGTTAAAAAGGTTTGATATTCCATATCGCAAATATATATTTCTCGTTATTTTAATTGAATTCCCAACGTACCAAGATATTTATCAACAATTCAATCTCACTCATTGATACCTCAAAAAACTTTAATTTAGTAATCAAAGTCCATTACCCGCTTGGGATTAAGGTCATGAGAACAACATCAAGGTGAAATTAAATTTATGTGGTCAATTTCAGAATTAAATTTCAATCGAACACATTCAAAAAAATGTAAAGTCAATATTTATAATTAAAATCAAAGATGAACTTTAATAAACTTAATATCATCACAGTAAAGTGTTTGTCTTTATTTACAGGTCTTAGACAACAAAAATTAGATCGAATGATAAATCTAGCCCCCCTTGGTGGAGATTAAAATCAGATTTTCAGTAAATTTTAATAAAAATTGATGAAATGTCTAGTTAAAAAATCATAAACCCATAAAATATGTATTTGAAATCAATTGTTGATTTTGATTTAAATTAAAAATCTAGATTGTAATTTTCACCAAATAGGGGCCTAATTTTTTCGTGCTTAACAAATTAAGCACTGTGTTTATTATATTAAATCAATCCATGAACAAATGCAAGTTCAAATTAATACAAACAATTTATGAAAAATTAAACAATATTTTATTTATATAAAAAAAAAGCAAAAACCTATCCAACAGTAGATAATCTGGAATCATTCTGTATTTGCTTATTTTTAACTGAATCACAAGCTTTTCGAAAGCAAGAGAATTGCATGATTTGGTACTGAATTCATTATTTTTCCCGAGTAAATGTTCGACAAATAAACTTTCTAATTGAGCAACAAAGTTTTAATCTTTTGCACACATTTTTGTAGTACAGTGGAATTAAATAAAGAAATATGCTACATGTACCGTCCTTATTGGACTGTAAGGATTGTACATTTATAGTCCAAACTGATTAGTGTGGGCCTACTAATTAATTTTCGGGTGTGATTCCCATCCTCCTGGCACAGTGAAGACTGTCCTCTACTATTTTCTCAAGATCATATCTGTACTGGAATCCCATTTCCTCCAGCTTCTTTGAGCCCCATCCAGTTTCTCTCTTTGTATCTTCAATGAACCTGAAATAAAATGGACAAAATGAAACTTTTGTAATCTCTATACCTATTAGAATTGTGAGTTTCTAGTGGCTCAACATCGTCAACGTCTGGTGTAGCCTTGTTTTAGCCTAATATCCATGTATAAATGTACTATTTGGTAGAGACGACACTTCCAGACGAAATTTCTGCCAGACTTTCAGTTGGGGTCAAAGAACTAAAGTTTTGAAGCCTTGACAAGAGAAGCAAAAGATGAAACCACGAAAGAAAGTTGAAATTCTTACTCTTGAGAGATTCTGATTTCCGGGTAACATTTCTGGACATGAGACGCAATATCGGCTGTTTTTAAGAAATTGCTTGCGCATAGGATTCTTCCATTGATGTGTGGATTCTCCATGCAGAAGATATGGGCTTCGACCGCGTCTTGGATATGCAATATTGGTAATTTTCCGAGCAATTCCTCCATAAACCTCAGAATTCGATACTTAGCACTGTCATTTGTGAGTTGTGATATAAGGACACCCATGCTTCCAGCTATAAACGATTGAAGAGTATCCCCTCCCACAAGACCACAAGCAAGACTTACTACCTCTATACCCTTACCATTGAAACTCAACACTTCTCTTTCCGCCAATGTCTTGGAATGTACATAATCCTGAAATATCAGAGACGAATTCATTGAACTTAAAAAGAATATCACATTCGGATACACTGGTGACCGTTCTTTATTTTCGAAGCAAAAAGATGAATTTCATTACGTAATAGCACCAATCACAAAACGTGGAATACTGAGTAAAAACGAACGGAAGCAATTTAGGAAGCTAGCCTGTGGGCCATCCTATTCCCCTCGCGAGGAATATAGAGACAAGGGCCACAGCGAAATAAGTTGCTCTTTTCTCTGTTGAAAACAAAATATAACATCCAAGAGAAATAGACCACCATCAAGAGATTACAAACATACATGGAAAAAGTCATCGCAGTAAGAAAATGAGAGATTGAGAGGAGTCCAACAAGTTTCGTCTATTGAATCCTTAAAGCCAGAGCCATCGTTGTTTAGTGGTGACGCGGCTACCACAGAGCCAGTGTACACGAGTCTCTTCACTGATTCTGATCTTAAGCAGGACTGAACAATGCTCTTCACCCCTGCTACTGCGGCCTCGGAAGTATTTTTGTACTGCATAAAACGCAATAATTTAAAGAATTCAATAAAAACTGAGCTCCAGAGAGATTGGAAAAGTAGCTCAATCAGTGGATTATGACCTTGATTAAAGGGAAGATTCAAACCTCAGTGTTGTGCGTGTTATGTTGAAATGGAGTTGCCAAATGGATAACAACTTGACAGTCTTGAATTGCCAATGCAAACGCATCATGATCATATATATCTGCCTCGAACAATTTTAGCCTTGTTTCAGCATGAGGAAGACCCTTGAGAAGCCCCACTTTTGAGGGTTCACCTGGAGTTCCAATTTTCACAGCAATCAAGTGACGTTAGAGAGAAATGTTTGGTCCAACATATATGTTTAGAACCATGAACCAAAGTTAATTTCACAGACACTGTATAACTTTTCTGTACAAGTTCCCTGATTTCCATTACCGTTGTCGGTGCCGATCTAATCACTTAGGAGCCCACTTTGAACTTGTCAAAGGAGCTTTGTTATCCGAATCAAACCAGGATACCATGGAAGGTCCACCCAAATTCCAACCCACCTAGGTCGGTCTATGGAAAACACTATCTAGAAATATAATCATAACACGACTGAAAATGTATTCATCATCAGGTGACAACACTATCCGTAAAAACCAATGATGACCCAAGGTGCAAGTCAATAACCTAAGTATCAACTCTCTAGCCAATTAAATATGTCCAAAAGAACGATAACACACAAGCCTAGGTCGGAGGAATCATTATCAATATAAACATGTACTACTTATTACGGGTGAAAATCCCACGTTGACTATAAGAATGATAAAAGTGATCAACTTTGTGCATGGACTTTTAACATAAAACCTCAGCATTAATATCAAAGCCTTGAAAGATAACAGCCATCTCGCACTCAAATAAAGATAAAAACAATAATCAAAACTAAAACTACTCCTCTAAACAAGTGTAGAGCTTTATGGTTAAATCTCAACACTCAATTCTGCACAGAGAGAGAGACCTAGATTCCTGAGTGTTGCGTGAACTGTATAGCCTCTGTGTAACAATTCCTTAACGAGAAAAGAACCAATATAGCCTGAAGCTCCAGTTACGCAAACCTTGGAGTTCTTGTCCATTGTCGACTTCGAGAATCACAGATTAGTTTTTTCCAGAGAGTACACGAGCAGAATGAAAGTCTTCCTTTCCAGATTTTCTTCTGCCCTTTTTCCAATTTATGCTGAGTAAATTTTCTGTTCAATTAAGTTATTATTATTAGCACGCGATCTCAGTTGGATCTATGTGGTTTTCTTCTTGTTCTTAATGAAATACCATTATACATGTTGAGGTAATTATATTGCCACCACAAAAAATTTTGTGGCACCACATTTTTAAATATTTTTTTGATTTATAAAACTGAACATTAATAAAATAACGTAAATAACCTTTTAATTATTTCTTTCTATTTTTTTGTAAAGTAAATCAATTTTCTTTAATTCCTACACACACCACAATTCCCATGCCACCACAAATTACACAGACCTGCCAATCAAATTCCAGAATCACGTCTTGTATTACAAATAGGGATGCTAAAATTTGGAACCAAAAGCTGCTGCCCCAAATCTGGCGAAAACCAGGTCCCCAGTCACCATCCAGATCTGCTCAAAACACTACAATTGGACTCCTCCGCACTGGAAGTGGTGAACACACGGACCCAAATCATCCAAAGAAAGAGCGGGCCGGAAAGGAAAAGGACAGAGCAGCAGTGGGCCCGAAAGGGATCCCGGCGAAAAAAAATCCGAACGGTATGCGCCACACCATCCCCACAGGCTGAAGTGCTCCCGATCCCAAACAAGTGCCACAACAGGCAGTACCAACAAGGGGCACCAACCCCAAACACGAACCAATGTCATGGCCAGGAACGGACAGACCCAACACCATGATAGAACCCCTACGGACTAGAAGTCGGAGAGGAAAAATTAGGACTCCAATAGAGCCTAGACAGAAACCTTACCTTTGCTAGCAAAGGAAGGAGGATGGCAAGAAAAACGAGCAAAGGAAAGATAAACAAGAAGGAAAGGAAATTAAAAAGTTGGCCGGACGATCGGAGGACACACCACATTTTTTTTTTTTTCATTTTTCATTTTTCATTTTTCATTTTTATTGTATTAGGGGTATAGTAGTAAATATGGTTGTAGTGTATTTATTAAAATGATATTTTAAATGTGGTGAAATTATAATGTGGTGTATAAAGTAAATTTTGTTGTGGTAATATAACTACCCTTAGTGAAAT